TATGTCAGAAAGAAGGGACAAATGAAAATGAAAAAAATCCAAGACTACCTCCCCATCCATGTCACAAAAAGCACATCTTTGATCTCCCACAGAGTCGTCTGCAATGCTGGATGCCCTTTTAGACTGCGGTGAACACACCGCGTGTGAAGCTTCTGCAGGGTGTAAATTAAAAGCCTTTTTTCTGTAGCAGTGTCACACCATTACTCATTTTGGCAGCTATTTAAAAGTGTGCTTCTGTGATTTATTGTGTATTTTAATGTGTATGATTTATATAGTATGTAGTACTATGCATATACACATGTCTATTAAGATTCTATGCACACTGACTCTGTGTCGTAATGTGCTATTGATGGGAATGTCTGTCCCTGTAGTCATCACAGACACATGTTTGTCAGCTGCAAGAAACTTTACACAATAATGTTCAGATACTAGTGTAGTAAGCAAGTCAACAAATATTCCAAAACCTTATATATTTATATGCAAAGTATGCTAATCACAAACATAACCGCTAGCAAGAGATCAGAAAGCTAGCATTTCCCAAGTTACCAGAGAGGAGACATCCTTGAGAAATACACAGGGTGAAAACTTTTAATTAAGACAATCTTCTTTCATGCTCTGCCACCCTATATTTTGCATTAACCTCTTGAATCCCAATGTAAAGGGGGGGACGTGATTACACGGGGTGTGCATCAGGTAAACAGATGCCATGAAAAGATTTAAACACACAGTACATAGTCACCTGTTCACTCCGATGGCATGTACGTGGCCAAACCATATCTCTGCTGAAAGCACAGATCTCGGATCCAACCAAAGTTCACTGAAGCAGCAGCAAAAAAAGACCAAAATTATGCTTCAATTTTGAAAAATATTAGCATGAATTCTGTCTTACCTTTGCGGTCTCGCTTCCTAAAAAAAATCCACCGCAATAAAACCACATTTCCTGCACTGCTCCATCTCCCAGTGTGCTTCAAGAGCAGTTTCCCATCATGAACCACTATTTTCTGCCTTCTTTGCCTGTTTACGCTCCAGTAAACTGTTGTGTATTTGTCTGACAAGTACGGCTAATTTTTGCTATTCAATACCTAAGAAATTTCAACTTTTGTTTTTCTGTCTTCCATCCTCAGTTACTTTGATACTGTAGCATCTGCTGTAATGCTTACACCTATTATCAAGTCTCACACGTGTTAGTTTATTTTGATACCAAGATGGTTTACACAGAGTTTGCAATTGTAGAGAAATAATCCATTCTTTTTAGGTCTGTCATTTTCAAGCAGGTACCCCCCTGAGATTTAAAAGATTAAAAGCAAATTAGATTACTATTGACATTTTGTTAACACTTTGCCTGTGAATACTTAAAGGCATAATCATGTCAGTGGTCATAATTATCAGCAAGATATTTTGCAAATCTGGCTTGAGCAGCAGCCAGCGCACTTGATTATCTTTTCATGGAGAAACACTGTTTTTATTAAAGCTGAACTTATTTTTCAGAACTGTAATGCTATAGGAAAACATGCATAGCCTGCGTACATTTTACAGCATTTCAATAGATCGTTACGCAGGGCTGTCGATGAGTCTACCAGCAACTCACACATAGCTGCATCCCCAAAGCACCAACCTCGTGAAACACACGATGAAGACTCAGTGGACCTAATTAATATACAGCACATAGACCACAACTATGGTAAATGGACTGGTTATTATATTGCTTTCTCCCACTCCCTTTCCTTGGAGCACTCAAAGCATTTTATTCACCTATTGCTTTTTATCAAACACTCAAACTCAAATGAGCGCATCAGGAGCAACTTCATGAGATCAGTATCTTGCCCAAGGATACTTTGGCATGCAGACTGGAGCAGCCAAGGATTGAACCACCATCCTTCCAATTAGTAGATGACCTGGTCTACCTCATCACAATATTGTCCAACCCTATGGCTGTATTGATATTTTTGTTCTATTGTACATATACAGTATATCAGTATCTGTGTGGGGTTTTTTTAAATTAAATTTTTTCAGATATGTGGTGCCATGAAAATGTTTTTATTTATTTTCACAAACTTTAATGCAGCGAAAAACCTATCTTGGGCATGTTATAAGTGGTGTCATCACAACCTCCAAGTCCGTTGTTTACAAAACTCTCAACCTTGTCTAGAAGCACATATAGAGGAGAACACAAGAGACATGTGCAGTGGTGGTGTGGAGTCATGTGGTGCATTCTGTTAAGTTTCTAACTAGTTAGTAAAATACACTGCTGAAAAGTTAATTATGACCCTAATCATTTTCTGTTTTCAATGCTATTCTAACAGTACACAGCCTTTCTGTATGGCCAGTAGTCTCAGTAACCAAGAATGCCCAAAATGGCCAGAGGATAGTTGTTGTAAGGCTGTAGTTTACTGGAAACAAACTAGCCCTGGCGCTGACAGATATTAATAACAGTGCTATCATTATCAGAAAAAAGCAAGCAACAAGTCCAGACTCGTTCTTTAGAAGTTGGAATTGTAGAAGAAGTAATAAATCACTAAAGTTATGTGGTGGTTGTGGGGCGGGTGAATTATAACAGTTCGTTAGGAACCAACTCCTGGAATCTCCTGGCAATCAGAGACGAGTTTTTAACACTTAACATTTAAAAAGGCCTAAAGAATATTTTTAATCTAAGAGGTTTGATTAAAGGCACCTTGGAAGCACGACAGGGAATATATAAAATTCTTAATTTGCTCTCTCCAACCACACTTGCCTGAGTTGAACCTGCAAACTGATAACCACAGATGCACCTGGTTCTTGCATCCAGCTTCTTTGTCGTGATCCATTATATATGTTCCCTCCGAAGCTCTAAAGGGGACATAGTAGGAAGTGAAAAACAATGTGCAGACTGACATAGAGTCCAATTACGGTTTTTACATTGTGTTAAATGGAACCGAGTGGAAAAATCAATTATGTGAAATTAGCGCTTACTGCTAACTATCATTCTCACTATTAGGAATGCATGTGAGAGCTGAACAGTGGCGAGATGCCCTTTTAAGTGTCAGAAAAGCTTTGTCATAGTGAGATCAAACCCCCACATGGTTTTAAATGAGAAGCAGTGCAGGGGACTGAAGGAAGCTGTAAAAGATCAAATGGTGCTGCAGTAAATATGAAGGAAGGTGAAGATTCACACCCAGAGGCTCTATTGTCATTGTGCTTGATGATGCTGACAGATATAATAGAGTTCTACAAATGTTTAAAAAGCCTCAGTGGACCTTGGCTGCTTTGTAAAATACAAAAAAAAAAAAAAGATTTATATAATATATGGTTCTTGGTGCCAGACAGGATGGTCTGAGTATTTTGGAATTTGCTCACCTACTGGGATTTTCCCACAGTACTATCTCCAGGGTGTACACACAATGGACTGAAAAAAAGAGAGCAGCTGTTCTGAGTGGTTGTTTGATGCCAGAGGTCAGAGCAGAACCAGGCTGCTGCTTCAAGCTGAAAGGAAGGCAAAGGTAACTCAAATAACAACTTTTACAAACCACAGTGTGCAGAAGAGGATCTCTGAATGCACAAAGCTTAAAATGTAAAAACAAATGGGCTACAGCAGCAGAAGACCACAGCAGATGTCACTCCTGCCAGCTGAGAATAGGAACGTGATGGCACAATTACCTGAACTAACCAAAATTGGAAAAACCGAAGAAGTTCTGTCCTGCCTCGTATAAACAGTTTAGGGTGCTGATGGTGGTCTAATAGTGTGGGGGATATTTTCTTAAACTCTGCATGTCAACATCTCCCCACACACCAAAGAAAACATTAAATTAACCAGCTGTGATCCCTGTGACTGTTCTTGGTCAGCTTTTTTAATAGTCATTATCTAGGCATATGTTTTTGTAATTTGAGGTCATCACATTTTTTATTTTACAATTTTTATATGTTATAATTACAAAAGAGCACCTTTTCAATTTTAATTGCTTTATTTTGTCTCATGAATTATTGCTTGATGTCCTTTTTTGTTGCTATGATCTTTCGTTAAAGGTCAGTGTTGACCACAGAAAGAGACTTACTGCGACAGTAGTGTCATTTTGGAAAAATCTCTGTGGTTAAAAAAACATTTCAATTCATTCTGATTTTGTTTATAGTATATATGGAATGGGTAATTTGAGTGACTATACCAGTGAAATTTTAGTCACTATATGGTTAAAAAAAACATTTGTTTTTGGAGGTTATTCAAACATATCGCGATATGTATCGTGTATCGTGATCAGAAATCAGAGGCAGTAACGCATAACTAACGTATTTAGTAAAGTAATGGATTACTATTGCAAAAAAGTAATTAGATTACTGCTACTTTCCCATAAGCATGCTGCGTTACTGCGTTACTAAACCATGATTTTGTTTGTGAGAGTGTCTCATGACAATGAGGTTTGAGCACGCGACGTCCGGCAGCAACATATGTGTAAACACAAAAGTTATATGGTATTTTTTATGCTGGAACACAGTGGGGCAAAAAAGTATTTAGTCAGCCACCGATTGTGCAAGTTCCCCCACCTAAAATGATGACAGAGGTCAGTAATTTGCACCAGAGGTACACTTCAACTGTGAGAGACAGAATGTGAAAAAAAAATCCATGAATCCACATGGTAGGATTTGTAAAGAATTTATTCGTAAATCAGGGTGGAAAATAAGTATTTGGTCAATAACAAAAATACAACTCAATACTTTGTAACATAACCTTTGTTGGCAATAACAGAGGTCAAACGTTTACTATAGGTCTTTACCAGGTTTGCACACACAGTAGCTGGTATTTTGGCCCATTCCTCCATGCAGATCTTCTCGAGAGCAGTGATGTTTTGGGGCTGTCGCCGAGCAACACGGACTTTCAACTCCCGCCACAGATTTTCTATGGGGTTGAGGTCTGGAGACTGGCTAGGCCACTCCAGGACTTTCAAATGCTTCTTACGGAGCCACTCCTTTGTTGCCCGGGCGGTGTGTTTTGGATCATTGTCATGTTGGAAGACCCAGCCTCGTTTCATCTTCAAAGTTCTCACTGATGGAAGGAGGTTTTGGCTCAAAATCTCAGATACATGGCCCCATTCATTCTGTCCTTAACACGGATCAGTCGTCCTGTCCCCTTGGCAGAAAAACAGCCCCATAGCATGATGTTTCCACCCCCATGCTTCACAGTAGGTATGGTGTTCTTGGGATGCAACTCAGTATTCTTCTTCCTCCAAACACGACGAGTTGAGTTTATACCAAAAAGTTCTACTTTGGTTTCATCTGACCACATGACATTCTCCCAATCCTCTGCTGTATCATCCATGTGCTCTCTGGCAAACTTCAGACGGGCCTGGACATGCACTGGCTTCAGCAGCGGAACACGTCTGGCACTGCGGGATTTGATTCCCTGCCGTTGTAGTGTGTTACTGATGGTGACCTTTGTTACTTTGGTCCCAGCTCTCTGCAGGTCATTCACCAGGTCCCCCCGTGTGGTTCTGGGATCTTTGCTCACCGTTCTCATGATCATTTTGACCCCACGGGATGAGATCTTGCGTGGAGCCCCAGATCGAGGGAGATTATCAGTGGTCTTGTATGTCTTCCATTTTCTGATGATTGCTCCCACAGTTGATTTTTTCACACCAAGCTGCTTGCCTATTGTAGATTCACTCTTCCCAGTCTGGTGCAGGTCTACAATACTTTTCCTGGTGTCCTTCGAAAGCTCTTTGGTCTTGGCCATGGCGGAGTTTGGAGTCTGACTGTTTGAGGCTGTGGACAGGTGTCTTTTATACAGATGATGAGTTCAAACAGGTGCCATTCATACAGGTAACGAGTGGGGGACAGAAAAGCTTCTTACAGAAGACGTTACAGGTCTGTGAGAGCCAGAGATTTTCCTTGTTTGAGGTGACCAAATACTTATTTTCCACCCTGATTTACGAATAAATTCTTTACAAATCCTACCATGTGGATTCATGGATTTTTTTTTCACATTCTGTCTCTCACAGTTGAAGTGTACCTCTGGTGCAAAATACTGACCTCTGTCATCATTTTAGGTGGGGGAACTTGCACAATCGGTGGCTGACTAAATACTTTTTTGCCCCACTGTATGCAGAAAATACATTTAAATGTTAAACAAATATTTTCATGTCAAACACTTTTGCATATAATTTCATTTTTGCTTGATGCAATGTGCATGAAATTAAAAGATTAAAACTAATAAAACAAGTTTTAAAGAGAAAATGATTAAAAAACTACTATGGGAAGGTACAGTATTAGAGTGTTACTAGAGTCCACCAGGTAAAAAAACAACAGCCCACTCTCCTAATCTGAGACTTCTTGCTGCTCCAGCTCAGGTTTATTCTCTTCTCTGAGATCTTCTTTCTCCCAGAGTACTGAAAAGAAAAGAGAAAAATCTGAACTGAGGAGGTGAGAAGGTGAGGATGAGGTCCCACCCTCCCTCAGAACTGAGATCTCACCTTGAAAAGGCATCTGCCTCCTTGATCAATCTTTCATTGCTGTCTCCCAGCAGCTGGCCTCTCACCCCGCACACCACCTCCTTCTCTCTGACTCCATCGCTCTTTGGTATTATACACCTGCCTGCTATACTGAATCACTCAGATGTTCTGTTTACAGATCTACCTGCCATTTTGCTATCTGCTGCGCTCTGTAATAGTGTAGCAACAGATACCTGACCGCTGCTGGAGCAATCTCAGGAAAGCCATAAAAGAAAACGGCAAACAGCATGCAGACAATGCCCGGTTTTTAGGTTCACGTGGCAGAACCTAAAATCACAGCTCATAAAGTATTCGGCCTCAGCGAGAAGAAGTCAGTGAGTGCTGACAGCAACTTTAATGGGATTTGTTGTTGGAAATAAGTTAATTAATCTTGTCCACTTTCTCTCAACTTTCTCTTTCTTCATCTTGCTGTTTCTTTTTGTCCTTTTCACCCTCTGCGTCACCTTTTAAACCTTCTCTCAGCTCTTTCATTTGGTGCTGAATTCACTATTTCAGTGTCCCATCTCCTCTATTTTTGTCTCTGTGCATATCTCTTAGTGCATGAAGAATGATGGCCAGTGGGGGATATTTCTCATGGGACTCTGAGCCAAAAAGCCAAAATGTAGTGTTTCATGCATCTTCACACTTTCTTGCCTTTTCCCCGCACCGTTCAACATACTTTGCATTTTGAAACAATTCAGTTTCTGCCACTGTGCCAGCTGACTTATGGCTTGAGGTTTTACACCAGCTATTTTCAGAGCAGGTGGCCACAATGGGTGTGCTTTCCATTCGCAAGAGCATCGGGAGATGAGGGAATAAACACTGGAAGCTGCGTCTTTGTTCGCAAACATTACCTGCTGTTAATGAAAGTCACTGAGCAAAGACAGAGATAAAACTGTACCAGCTACAGGTAACATCTATTTGATGAAGTGTGCAGTGAGGAGAGTGAAATTAATCACACACGAGCTGTTACAAAGAAATGTCCAGATGGGTTTATCAAAGCGAGAAAAAAAAAATAAAGGAAGTAAAGCAAAGATCGTGAATAAATATTAAAAAACACACCTTTGAAAAATAAACATGTTTTTTTTTTTTTCACTTTTCAGGCTTCATTAAATATAAATAAGTCACATGCGCACACCGTCCTTAACACGTATTGGCTTTACACACATATCGAACGGGAATCTTTTGTCAGTAATTAATGGTGTTGATCTAGTAAAGATTTCCCATGAGGTCAAATACATCTTCATCTCCTCGGGTAAATTGTTTTTCCAGTGTTTTTGTCTGGTAAACATCACCGACAAAACTGATTCCACCAGGGGTAATTACAACAACCGCTGGAAACAAATCAGCATAGCCAGCAGTGAAATGTACTGATTTAACAAACCAGGATATTAAAGCCAGCAGACGTGGATGCAATAAAGCAGTACTAGAGGACAGCTGGAGATTATAGGGCTGAGAAACAGTACCAGTTCATTGCTTTTATTGAGCAATGCACACATAGGCCATTACTGTGGGGTCATTACACAAAATGATTCTGATACAATCCAACATTGTCAATACAAGAGAGCGCGCAAAACAGGTTTTAAAACTCAAAAGGAAGAATCAGACATGAGGAAATACGCATTTGTTTATCTATTTTAGGTTGACACTAGTTCAGCTTTTGCTAACAGTGTCAGTAATGAATTGAGAGAGATGCTGGGCTTAAAGCCACCCCATCCAACAGCTGTGTAAAGCCCTGGTTCGCTAATACCTCTCCACCTTTGCACAGGTTTATGGCCATGGATCAGTAGGCTCAGTAACAAGGCTGACAGAGGCTTCTAACAAGTCAGGAGACAGGCAAACAGATGAACCTGGCAGCTCTTGTCTTCCCAGACAGCAGGGAGGATAAGAAAGTTAGGTATAAATGGGAATCATCCAGTCAAGCGTAGCTGAACATGCTAGCAGATCTCAATGGCCCCTAATAACACGGTTGGGGATTATTGCGACATTTCTCTGGTCAGAGGATTAAATATGCAAAGAGGGAAATTTCAGCTGTCCTGTTAAAGAAAGCGAGGAGTGCATAGAAACATGGCGCCAGATCATAGGATTGACCATAAATGTCGGACATGATCAAGGAGGACAGTCGTGCATGTCTTCCTTATGTCTCTGCGGCAGCACAAATATAGATGGAAGCAGGAACCATAACAATGTGTGAATAAAGTAGGCCTAAATCATTCTATCTAAATATATCTGGGGATGCTTTCATTGACTGGCAGAACATTTAACTGATACTGAGTCCATGAAAGCATTTCCATTTGCTGTCTAAAACACACAGTGTCAAGCAGCTGTTTTCTGCTGCCTGTCAAAATTAGCTTTTCCCTAAAAAACTAGTTTCCCCTAGTGGAAGGCTCTGCCTTGGTTTGATTCCAGGCCAGCAGAAAACCATAATTTTTAGTTTATGTGGACTATTTAATCACTAAACCATTTCATGCAACAAACTGGGTTGTTAATGTGAGCAGAACACTAACCACAATGCCCTGAACTGAAATTATAAAGAGGGGACTTCAACAGGGGTGGGCGATATAGCCTCAAAATTATATCAAGGCAATTCCAAAAAAGTATGCAATAATGATACATGTGATGAAAAGGAAAATAAAATTCCGAATAATGTTTTATCGGTGATTGTGGCTCACAGGCAGCAGCATTTATTAGTGCAAACCAAGTAAGGGGCATGTTCCATCTCTCTTCTCCAAAAAGCTATTTTCATTGATGACAGACGACATGATTCAAATATTGAATCTACTATCACAAGGTGCCAACAGCAGCAGCAGTAATGTAGTCCAATATAGTAGTGACACGGCATTAGTGAATTATAAACACAAATGTAGCATAGGCAATTCAATTCAATTCAATTCAATTCAATTCAATTCAACATTATTTATATAGTGCCAAATCCCAACAGCAGTTGCTTCAAGGTGCATAATATGTATGTAAGGTAAGGACTCCCACCAGGCTCAGTAGGGAGCATATATATATATATATTACTTATTTTCGAACGTAATTAGTTGCTTTGTTACTTATTTACTTTCTTAATAAC